GCCTCATATTTACACCTTTAAAACTTAATCACATGAAGTTGATACCCAACTACTTCTATCTCACTTCTATCTCATTCAACAGGCCATGGCCGGTCTAGCTTTCATCCTCAACGAGGCTATGGAAGGCGATTCTGAGGAAGTGGAGAAACTGAAGGGCAAGGTGGCTAGAAAGAATGCGCAACATGCCACACTCAAGCAAGACCTTGCCAAGGAGAAGACCGAGAAGGAAAAGCTCCAGGGCGAGCTAGAGGCTCTTCGACTATCCATCGACGAGCGCATCGTCCAAGCCCGGAAGGAAGGCCAAGAGACATTCCTTGACACGGAGTTTGGGGGCCGTTTTCTCGTGTGCTATTGGGATGAGATACTGACTCGCTACCACGACTCCAAAGCGTTCCTCAGGCGAGTCGTCAAGGACTGCCTCCACTACTTTCGAGTGGGGGTCGAGCGGACCCAAGCCGAGGCGCGTGTCTAGGGCTTCGAGACCTTCTCCACAGATGAAGGCAAGCTAAGGAGAGGCCTTCCTAACCCCCCGGGTGGAAAGGCGACGCGTCCCTCTCGGAGACTCATCCTTGGTGGGAGCCGGCTCTAGGGGCTGCTATCATTGCTGCTGGAGCTGAGATGGAGGTGGTCCCATAGTAGAATGGCGTCGGGCCACCCTCCTGGACTTGCATGCATTCTCCTTTTGTCTATTGTAGATGCGTCGAATTTGTTATTTTGTCACGTAGTCATGAACTCGTCTAGTCTTTGGTGAACTTTTTTATTCGGGCATGTAACCATGAACTTATTTAGTCTTTTGTGAACTGATGCCACTTATCGTTAGCTAGCACTATGCATCAATGCGACGCCTTCATTTTGTTGTTTACCCGTTTCAATTGCTCGTACCTACATAACGTATAACTATGCAAGTAACCTCAATTCTCCACTCAGGATGAACTGCGTCCACCAAGAGCTCAGGACGAACTTCGTCCACCAAGTCTTGTAAACACTTAGCATCGTGACAATTGGCTTTTGCACCTAGCACAATTATTGCTAAGTCTCTCAAGACTCGCATTCCCAACTTTACGAAGCCGCCTTGTCAATTACCAAGATCGTCACCGGCCAAACTTGCCCCTTACAAAAGTCGTTGCCTAGCTTCACGAGCTTAGGTGAGGCTACCAGGCTTTCGCCCTACAAGGGTCGTCGCCTAGCTCCGCGAGCTTAGGCGAGGCTACCAGGCTTTCGTCCTACAAGGGTCATCTCCTGGCTCCATGAGCTTAGGCGAGACTACCAGGCTTTCGCCCTACAAGGGTCGTCGCCTACCTCCGCGAGCTTAGGCGAGACTGCCAGGCTTTCGCCCTACAAGGGTCGTCGCCTAGCTCCGCGAGCTTAGGAGAGACTACCAGGCTTTCGCCCTACAAGGGTCGTCGCCTAGCTCTGCGAGCTTAGGCGAGACTACCAGGCTTTCGCCCTACAAGGGTCGTCGTCTAGCTCCGCGAGCTTAGGCGAGACTACCAGGCTTTCGCCCTACAAGGGTCGTCGCCTAGCTCCGCGAGCTTAGGCGAGACTAACGGGTCACCAACCTTAGATACATCACACAAGAACAGAGTTCAGCTGCAAAAACTTCAAATGCAACTTTATTATTTGTCTTGCCAAAACATAATCGAATAACAACTGAAAGCAATTAAAAATAATAGGCGCCCGGCTACGCGTAATACTTCTTCAAATGTGATATGTTCCATGGTCGCGGTAGTAGTCGCCCCTCGACATCGTGGAGTTCGTAGGCGCCCCCCGCGAACACCCTCTCGATAGTATAAGGGCCCTCCCAGTTCGGTTCTATCTTCCCGACATGCTTCAGGGCGTCAGCCTGGCGCCAAACCAGGTCCCCCACTTGGAATCGCCGAGCTCGAACTGACTTGTCGTGGGCCGCCCTCATCCGTTGCTTGTAAACTGTTGTTCTCAATCTCGCCTGGTCACGCAACTCGTCCTCCAGGTCAAGCGTCTCCCTTCGGAGCTCTTCATTCCCTTCTTCAGTGTAGGAGCTAAACCGTTCTGAGTTGAGGCAGACCTCCACTGGAATGATGGCCTCCATACCATAAACTAGGCTGAACGGCGTCTCCCCCGTCAAAGTCCTTGGTGTCGTCCGATAAGACCACAACACCGAATCAAGTTCGTCCACCCAAGCTCCCGAAGCTCTCTCCAATCTAGCCTTCAACCCATTTAGTATTGATCTATTAGCAACCTCGGCCTGCCCATTCGCTTGGGGGTGGGCGACCAAAGCAAACTGTTGCTTGATGCCCATCTCTTTACACCAACTCATCGTACGTCGACCTCTGAACTGAGTGCCATTGTCAGATATAAGCACTCGAGGGATGCCATACCTACAACATATGTTGTTGAAAAGAAACTTCATCACCCTTTCCTCGGTGATTGTTGCTAATGGCTCGGCCTCAACCCACTTGGAGAAGTAACCCACTGCCACAATGAGAAACTTCCGCTGGCCCGTCGCCTGGGGCAACGGCCCAACTATGTCGACGCCCCACTGAGTAAAAGGCAGAGGCGAGCTAATCGGGACCATGTTCTCGGCTGCTCGGTGGATCAATGGACCATGCTGCTGACACTTCTTGCATTTTCGCACAAGGTCCTGTGCCATCGTCCTCATCTTAGGCCAGAACTATCCAGCCCGAAGCACCTTCCCAACCAACGCTCTAGCCTTCAGGTGGTCGCCGCACATCCTTCATGCACCTCCCTGAGCACGTAGTCTCCGTCCCCCTCCGAGACACACCTTAGATGAGGCCCTACGTAAGATTGCTTATATAAGATCCCATCTTGTAGGTAGAACCTCAGTGCTCTCCTTCCAACTGGGTCGTCCCTGATATCCTTTCCGGCTATCGGCTCCTGCAACCATTGTATTAAGGGCGACCTCCAATCCCTTTGTTCCTCCACTTCGAGTACCTGGTCTAAAGCACTCCTAGTCATATCCATCAGTGTCACCGACCGAGATTGGCAGTCAACAAGAGACGCGACCACCTTTGAGAGCAGGTCGCCCCTACCGTTTTCGCCCCGTGGTATTTGTATCAACTCCCATGTCGCGAATCCTTTCAACATCGCTTGGACTTCGACCAGGTACCTCTTCATGCGCTCTTCCTTAGCTTCATACTCACCCCTGATCTGCTCGACCACAAGTTGAGAATCCGAGTGAATGATCCCCTGGCGAGCTTTTTCTTTTAGAACGAGCTGAATTCCCTTAATAAGGGCTTCGTACTCGGCTTCATTATTCAACACCCTAAAGGACAGCTGGACCACAAACTCTAAGTGGTCCTTCTCTGGTGTGACCACCAAGATGTCGAGACCTGCTCCTCCTACCGCCGACGAGCCGTCGACATACACCATCCACGGTCCCCTCTCAGCTCCCAATGTGCACTCCTATATGAAGTCAGCCAACGCTTGGGCCTTAATAGCTTTTCGCACCTCAAAGTCCACATTGTATTCGCCCAACTCAACCGCCCACTTCACCATCCTCCCCGAGGCCGAAGGACGACCCAAAGTATCTTTGAGTGGGTAGTTGGTCTGCACCATGACCTTATGCGCTAGAAAGTAGGGATGCAATTTTCTGGCTGTAGAGATAAGTGTTAACGCTGCCTTCTCCACGTCGGAATATCGGCGCTCGGCGCCCTGCAATATCCGGCTGACATAGTATATCTGCTTCTGTTGTCCATGATCCTCCTTTATCAGCACCGAACTAATTGCTTCATGCCCACCGACAGGTATATCACTAATGTATCGTCTGGTTCTGGTTTTGTGAGTAAGGGTAGTTCAGCTAAAAACTCCTTCAACCTTTCGAAGGCCTGTTGTGCTTGCGGCGTCCACTCGAAACGCGACCCCTTCTTCAAGGCCTTAAAAAACGGAGAACTCTTCTCTGCGGATTGGGCTATGAACCTGCTCAACCCTGCTAGGCGTCCGGTTACGATCTGCACCTCCCTCAAGTTCCTCGGCGCTTGCATCTCCATAACTGCTCGTACCTTCTCTAGGTTGACTTCTATGCCTCTCTCCGTCACCAAGTAGCCCAGAAATTTTCCTGACCTTACCCCAAACTTGCACTTAGTCGGGTTGAGCTTCATGCCGTATTGCCGCAAGGTGCTCAAGGTCTCGCGTAGCTCTACCACATGATCATCCGACTTCCTGCTCTTTACTAGCATGTCATCGACGTAGACCTCCATATTCCGACCATTCTGCCCTTTGAACATTTTATCCACTAACCGTTGGTAAGTAGCCCTTATATTCTTCAATCCGAAAGGCATGACAACATAGCAATAGGTGCCCTTGGATGTCACAGAGCTAACCCTCTTCCAGTCCTCTTTTGCGAGAGGTATCTAGTGGTACCCCTGGGATGCGTCCATCATGCTCAACAGCTTGCACCCAGCCGTAGAGTCAACAAGCTGGTCAATACGTGGTAGGGGGTAGTGATCTTTGGGGCACGCTTTGTTGAGGTCCCTGATGTCTATGTACATCCTCCACTTTCCTTCTCTCTTCCTCACCATGACTGAGTTGGACAGCCACTCCAGGAATTGAATGGGTCGCACATGTCCCGCCTTCAACAGCTTCTCCACCTCTGCCTCAATAACCACGTCAAGCTCGGCACCAAAGTGCCTCCTCTTTTGCTTCACCAGCTTCATAGTTGGATCGATGTTTAGCCTGTGCTCTGCTACCCCGGGATCCATTTCTGTGACGTCGTCAGCCAAAAAGATGAAAACATCCACAAACTCCTTCAACAGTGCAATCAACGTGCCTTGTACGTCGACCGCCAAATGTCGACCCACCTTCGTCGTCCTGTCTGAATTTCCTTCTATCAATTCAACTTCCATAAATTTGTCCTGGGAGCTCATCCCCAGCTCTTGCCTCTTCTCCCGGTGGGAGCTCTCAGGTAGGTCATCCTTTCTTCTCTTATGTTGTGCCTCAGTCGTCTTCAAGGTGACCTCATAGCACCGTCGAGATTGCAGCTGGTCTCCAGTCACCTCTTTAACCTCATCTGCTACAGGGAATTTAATCTTCATGCAATAAGTGGAAATGGCTGCCTGGAATGAATTCAAGCTAGGTCTCCCCAGTATGATGTTGTAGGCCGAGCTAGCATCCACGACCAAGAAGCGAACCATCTTCACCTTTCTTAAAGGTGACCTTCCCAACGCCACCGTCAAACTAACTTCGCCTACGGGGCGAACCTCACTACCTCTGAAGCCATAGAGAGCAGTGTGGACCGGCTCAACCTTCACGTCTAACTCCATCTGTTGCAAGCACTTCAAGAAAATGATGTCTGCTGAGCTCCCCGTGTCTATGAGCACCCTTTGCACATCGTAACTGGCCACCTCCGCAGTGATGACCAAAGCGTCATTATGTGGGACAACGAGTCCCTGCACATCATCATCCCCAAACTTCAGAGTGGACGAACTCCTCTGCACCTGTACCTCGGCCACCTCATTGGCCACACCCTTTCCCCGGTAGGTCCTCTTCCGCTTCCGGTGCGAGTCTCCATCCGTAGGACCTCCCGCGATCATGTGTAGTATGCCTTTCTTAACTGGTCTGTTAGGTTGCTCATCCGTCCTTCTCCGCTTATCACCCGACTCTCGCCGCTCCCGACGATCATCCTGGCGTTCTCTATCCTTGATCACGAACTCCTTTAGGTGACCGGCCTTAATGAGCCGCTCAATTTCATCCTTCAACTCCCGACAGAAATTGGTAGAGTGGCCAAAATCACGGTGGTACCGACAATACCTGTCCTTCGACGCTGAAAACTTCCGCAGTGGGGGCAGAGGTTTTGGATGTGCGAGCAACTTGTCCTTCCCTCATTTTTCCATCATCTCCAAGATCTCCTGTTGTGGCGCATTGAGTTGTTTGTAATGCTCGTACCTTGGCCCCCTGAACCGATCCTCGACCCTAGATTCCTTGGGAGCGGCTCGTCGATCACCCTGTCGAGGCTTCTCTTCTACCTTCTTAGTCTTTGCCTTGTCATTTTGGAGAAAGTCCGCCTCCGATTCATCCATGTTCACATATTTGCTACACCTCTAAAGTAACTCATCAAAGGACCTCGCCGACCTCTTCGCTAACGAATCTCTGCACTTCCCAGGCCTCAATACCCGCGTAAGGCCTCCAGCTTTTATCTCTTCTAAGGCAAAAGGGACCTCCACGCATTCCTTAGTGCACCGCGCTACATATTGCCGCAAGGTCTCTCCCTCCTTCTGCTGCATATTAATCAACGAGAGGTACGTCTTCTCGTGCTTCCTGGCACTCGCAAACTGATTCAGAAACAAGGAGCTGAACTTTTCAAAGCAGTCGATAGATCCTGTCGGCAACTGGTGGAACCAATCTTGCGCCGACCCCTTCAAGGTCGTCAAAAAGGCTCGGCAGCTAACAACATCACTATACCTATGCAGCACGACTATGTTGTCAAACGATCTCAAGTGCCTAGCCTGGTCCGCCGACCCATCATAGGACAAACTCAACTCCCTGAAGTTGCTAGGCAAATTCCCTCCCAAGACATCCTCTGCAAAAAGGTGCCCTCGCAAAACTACAGGTCTCTTACCCTGCACCCGAGCTTGGAGTTCCAGCATTTGAGCTGCCAACCTTTCCAAAGTTAACCCATCTAATTGTGTCGTTGCCACCGGGCAGGAGGTTACCGACCTGGCATCATCCTCGTCGCCTCTCTCCAAGCGCTGGTGCTGCTGCTGATACAAGGGGACCTGTTGTTGAGGTGCTAGTGGCTGCCGTGGCGGAGGTTGTCGAAACGACTCATTAGGAGTTCTCTTATCCACCTCTTGAGCCCGTTCTATCGCCTCGGCAATGATCCTGTCTAATTCTGACCTGGTCATCTGAATAACCGGGTCCTCCCGTGGTGCCGAAGAAACATTGTCCCCCGGAGGGTTTTGTGCTCCTCCCACGACCAACTGCCTACTACCAAGGGCACCACTCTGATCACAAGCACCTCCAGATCCCAAATCACCCTGATTCACCCCCCCATCAACCGTGGTGCCAACCTCCTTCCCTATGTCTGTCAAACCACCCGATGCTCCCTGGTTCGGCACGCGCCCCTGAGCTTCTGATGGTGGTACCGGGGTCACGCTTGGGCCCAACAACATCTCTTTGGGGGTGACATGCGATGGTGACCTTCCCGGTAGGGGACCTGTCCCGAAGGCCCTCCGAGCCCACTCCTCATCCATCTCCTTAGTCAAGCTCTTCTTCAAATTGTCTCCTGCCATGATCCTTGCTCTCTTCTTCTTTAGTGAGAAAAATAGCCTTTAATGCTCCGGTAGAAGACTGATTTGCTCCGCACAGACGGCGCCAATTTGTTAGACCACAAACACTAGAACCGCTTGACCGCTCCTCTCCGAACCGTGATATGTCTCCTTGATCGCCGGTACCTGCAAAGCACGCCGGGTGGTCCCGGCGCGAACACTCCGACGCTCAAGTCAGTGAGGGTCCAAAGAGAAATCGGCAGAGTAACGAAAGAATTTGTATGTGTGTGTTGTGTAAATGAAATAACCTGCGCCCCTTTTATAGATGAAGTCATGTAGAGGCTGTAGAGTTCTTATCATACCATGAGCCTTCCCATCAGATTAGGTCAAAATCCTAAGAGTCCTTGAGGTTGTGAACCTCTTCATGACTTTAGCACGATACCCCCTCCGGGCTCTGGTCCCCTCAGTGGGACGTCCAACTACCTAGGTGCCAAGGTGCCCTGTCTAGCTCACGTTGAGCTAGCCTCCGCCTACCACCCATGTACTCCAAAGGTACAATGGGTTGTGCCTACTAGAGCCTCCGCCTACCAGAACCTTCACCTACCAGAGCATCCGCCTACCACCCATGTACCCTAAAGGTACCATGGACTGCGCCTACCAGATTGAACCACCCAGCTGAGTGCGACTAGACCCCGGGTTACAACCGGTCCTTCATGAGCCGCTACTAACGACCACATCAAAGAAGAAGAAAATAAAAACCATATTGCTGCAAATAATATTTATTATCACACAATTATTCTGACCGAACATCATAAAAAAATAAAGAAAAATTTAGGGCCTCAATTCCCACACAAAGTACATATTTGAGGAATTTATACCACATACCATTCAATACACTTTATATTACATTTATACACCCTATAAAATATATACTTGCAACTCAACTAAATTCTACATACTTATTTGCACATGTATCAGATTTTACAGTTTATTAATTATGGAGAATAAATATAGAAAGAGAGATATATTTATAATCAATCCCTATTATCAAGTTATTAATTTTCTCTTTCTTTCATTTTGTTCTCCATTATCTCAATCATTTCCTCATCAACTATCTTCTTCAAATCAACTATCTTCTTCAAATGAAACGCAGGTCAAATTAGAAATATTGTGCACCGCCTCAAGGTAGCAAATGAAGGTAGGCATGAGAAAAAAATATAATAATTGTGTTTAATTTGTTTTAGTGGTTAATTAATTGCTTATTTTTTTTTATCAATTTTGTTTTCATTTGATGACTCTGGATCGAGAGGAAGAAACAAGAGGTGGTGAAAAGCAAAACCCACAGTAAGTATAATTGTATCTCTTCATTTATTTATATTAATTGTCTTCTTTTTGTTTATATTTAATTGTGTCTCCCGAGCAGGGCTGCTCGCGGGTGGAGATGACGGGTAATGAACGGACGCCGGCGGCGGTTGCAGGCCTCTCGTGTTCGGTGACTTGCTCATGGAGATCCTCGGCGATGGTTGCGTGTTCGGTGACTCGCTGAATTTAGTTTATATGTATAATATATATATATATACATATACTGGGATATGTACAATTATTGTACATCTTAATTTATGTTTGGTATATTAGTTTATGTACAAATTAGTTTCTGAATGAATGTATGTTTTTTCTGTTTTCAATGTTTATTCGTAGTTTATATTTGGTATATTATAAGATTTTATTGACAAAGCATAAACTGATTTTTTATTTTCGTTTATATGTATGGTTTATATTAAGTATATTTTCGGTATATGATAAAGAAATTTGTCGCTAGACAAAGCATAAACTGATTTTTTATTTTTTTTAGTATATGTATGGTATATATTCAGTATATTTTCGATATATGATAGAGAAAAAAGAAAAAAGAAAAAATAAAAAAGAGGAAGATATAATTTTTTGATGGAAGACATTTTTTTTCATTGCAACATATACTGAATATATACTAACATAAACGCAATATATACTGAATATATACTAACATAAGCGCAATATATACCACATGACAACTGCGTGAATTAAGGAATTCTAGCTGCGCAGATATACTGAATATATACTAACATAAACTTAATATATACCACCTGACAACTGCGTGAATTAAGGAATTCCAGTTGCGCGAATTAATTATTTATTTTTATTTCTCGAATTCTAGATGCGCACATATACTGAATATATACTAACATAAACTTAATATACACCACCTGACAGCTGCGTGAATTAAGAAATTCCAGTTGTGCGAATTAATTATTTATTTTTATTTCTCTTTCTTATGAGTCAACGATAATTAAGGCTGGAGCGTTTTATTTGTATGGTTATTTACATTAGGTATACTTCTAATAAAATCCTAAATTTTAGGTATAGATACAATTAAATTTGTCCAACTCATAAAAATGCAATATCTTGAAAAATGGTTCATTTTGAAAAGAAAAAAAAAATATTTTTGCTTTTTACAAATTTAAAGAAAACACATATATTTTAGGTAGTTGATGGATATCTTGATAACTCCAATTAAGACATATATTTTATTTAGTTGATGAACATCTTGATAACTCCGATTAAGAAAAAACGGAGTCATATTCAATTAGGCAAATCAATTCCAACATATATCATTTTCTCTCTCTTAAGACTTTAATGATTGGCGTAAATTAGGCATATCAGTTACCATTTCCAAATGGACTAATAAATAATGGTAATCTCAATAATGGTAGATATATAATATTTTCACTCACTTATGGCATATATACAAAAAAAAAAATATGGTGATTGGTAAATTTGCAATACCTTGCAATTCTTACCGGAAGAGTGAAAATTTTCCTATATATTTTGCCATTAGTCCATTCTTGAATTAGCCACTTCATTTATATAATGGGCCAAGTCATTTCATATATTCAAATAGGTCAAACCCAAACACAACTACATAATATTGAAAAAAAAAAAAAATGAGGCCGCAAATATATGGGGAGGCCCTAAACATGGGCCTAGGCTGCCTCCCCAAAGAGCCGGCTCTGATGTAAAGTACATACAATTCATAAAATCCTATATAAGGGAAATCCATCTTGACAAACATAGATAGCACCCGATTTATACAATCTTCGGCACCAAGATAAAAATTGTTCAGTCGTGTCCGGACTACCAAATCTATATCTATATAAAAAGAATTACCATTTATTAAAAATAGTAGCAAAAATTTAGGAAGCATTTAATGCATGCTATTTTTGGAAATATTTTAAATACATGCATTAATTGGTTCTATTTACACGTTTTCAAATAAGATTAAATAACATATGATCAAATAATTACTTAAACTTATTAATATCTGCAGTATTTTCATTGATATTTATTATAATAAATTACAAGAT